TTTCGCTAATGAATCTGAGTTTTATGAAAATCGATTTATTTTTTTTCAGGAAGATACGGTTATGAATGTTGTCTTGTATATGTCTGTTGTTTTTAACGAGAGAAATAACCTGAATACATTCTGACCTAATTCTGACCATATAAATGTATTTTTTCTTTTAAAAGATCGTTAACGAAGGGTCGTTGTCATTTATTCTTCCTCCTAAAAACTAATCTCCTAGATAAATCACAAATGTATTCAAATACAGCTCGAATTATAGCAATCTATTCTAATGTATCTATAGACTAATATGAATAAAAAAGAGTGAATTTCTTAAATATATCTCCCAACCCCCTATACTCAAAAGTAAAATTTGTTTTCCAATATGCTAAAATTTGCATTATTGAGGGTTTATCGCTAAATTTTTACTTCAAGGAAAATCGAAAATGTAAAACTGTTTTCAAGATCGAGTCAAATTTTTCTTTTTTTCCCTCTTATCTTTAATAGTATATATATATAGAAGGGATCAATTTTAATTATTTACAGTATATAAGTTAAAATAACCTCCCCTCCCTCCCATTCTGAAAAAAACTTATTTGAATCTTACTTCATAATATATAAAGAAGAACTTTTAAGTGTAAAAAAAAATAATAATCACAATAGTTTTTTAAGTTTTTAACTACAGTGTGATAGCCAGAAAACTCTTGAATAGGAATTCGACTTTTAAATTCAAATTATAACGTTATCCAATGAGAATGAGACAGCGCAATTGTGCAGTGAAAACAGACCCATTTCACTAAACAATTGATTTAATAAGTTACTCGTAACGCTATTCGCCAAGTCATAACACAAATGCACTTCTGTCATTGCTTTAATGTCGTATTCCTTTTCTACAGTTTTCTGGTTATCACTGTATCCAGAATTGATCTTGAGACACCCTGTACAATGGCTAAAAACCACATGCATAGCCAAGAATTAGAATGTAACGAGGAGCAGGGAGTAAGGAATAGAAGGGAGATATAACTGACGCGGTTCGCCCTACCATATGATTATACATGCTTTGCAGACGGGTACTTTATTTGAATAAGAAATATTTGTCTGATGTATACATTTACTGCATATACAATAACCTATTCTGAATATTTCATATACAAATGAAGTACCCGTCTGCAAAGCATGTAAATCATATGGTAGAGCGAACCCCGTCAGTTATATCTCCCTTCTATTCTCTACTCCCTGAACGAGGAGCCAGGGATAATTAGACAACAAAACTACGTGTACGTACTATTCAACCGTTCAACAAAGGGTCTAGAGTGTACGAATATGATGAATGGGGGGGGGGGGGAGGGGGGATTGATAGAGATTGGGGAATATAAACTTTGGGTACTCTTCTGTGTACAGATCTAATCTGAAACTAACATCTTCAAAAAATCCTGTTTAAAACTTGGATATAATTATACAAATACAATTGTAGAGTTTAGAAAATCACTAATGGTTCCAGTCTTACTCTGAAGTATTGAGAACTACGTAGGACGGATGGTGTGGTGGTATGAGGGTGTACCCAGAGAAGGTTGGGGATAAACTGGAGGATGAAAGGATCTCTCCGGGTCCGAGGCTCTATCTGTATACGGAGCAAATATAGAACTAGGATTCAATATCTTTTGATACAGATCTAGATACTGTCCCATTTAATATACTTTAATAGTTTATTCTTCATCCACAACAACAACAACAACAACAACAACATCAACAACATAAACAAAAACAACAACTATAACAACAGCATAAACACAGCCCCTCTGTTAAATTATGTATAAAATTTTTTCATCTAAAACATTGAGCCACTTCAGCATTTCTAGACATTGCTGTCATGCACTTTCCTTTAACATAATATCAATATCATAAACATCATCCATAATATCAGCATTGACAGATTCTTGCTCTATTTCGTCCAAAACCCCAATGTGCTTAATCAAATTCAATAATTTGTCATCTTGGTAATTGTCCATAAACCACGTGAGATTTTTGAACGTCGGCCATGCACCGCACCATCCATTATTATAAGTAACTTTCTTTAATCTAATCAGTGTGTAATTTACACGATTTAATGTTTAATTTATACGATTGATTGTTTAATTTACACTATTTAATGTTTAATTTACACATTTAATGTTTAATTTACACATTTATTGTTTAATTTACACGATTTAATGCTTAATTTACACTATTTACTGTTTAATTTACACTATTTATTGTTTAATTTACACGATTTAATGATTAATTTACACGATTTAGTGCTTAATTTACATGATTTAGTGTTTAGTTTACACTATTTATTGTTTAATTTACACTATTTATTGTTTAATTTACACGATTTAATGATTAATTTACACGATTTAGTGCTTAATTTACATGATTTAGTGTTTAGTTTACACTATTTATTGTTTAATTTACACTATTTATTGTTTAATTTACACGATTTAATGATTAATTTACACGATTTAGTGCTTAATTTACATGATTTAGTGTTTAGTTTACACTATTTATTGTTTAATTTACACGATTTAGTGTTTAATTTACACGATTTAATGATTAATTTACACGATTTAGTGCTTAATTTACACGATTTAATGTTTAATTTAAACATTTAATGTTTAATTTACACGATTTAGTGTTTAATTTACAAGATTTATTGTTTAATTTACACGATTTAATGTTTAATTTACATTATTTATTGTTTATTTTACACGATTTATTGATTAATTTACACGATTTGTTGTTTAAATTACACGATTTATGTATTAATTTACACAATTAAATGATTAATTTACACGATTTATTGATTAATTTACACGATTTATTGATTAATTTACACGATTTATTGATTAATTTACACGATTTATTGATTTACACGATTTGTTGTTTAAATTACACGATTTATGTATTAATTTACACAATTTATTGATTAATTTACACGATTTATTGATTAATTTACACGATTTATTGATTAATTTACACGATTTATTGATTAATTTACACAATTTGGTTTGTTTACGGATTTGGTATTAATGTTTTTGCGGATTTGGTATTAATGTTTGCGGATTTGGAATTTAATTCTCACGGTTTGTATTAAATTTTCATAATTTAATTTTATAATTTTACGATTTAGTGTTTAACTTTTATGATATTATGTGTAAAAATATAACGATTTAGTGCTAACTTTTCAAAATACACTGTACTTTAACAATGTATAATTAAATTCATGATGCATTGTTTACATTCACGATGTATTGTTTACAATTATTTGTTTAATTTTCACAATTCACATAGTGTTGATTTACATAATCAATTGTACGAAAACTCTAATATTTACTTACTTAATGTAAAATAAATTAGATTTTAAATTAACATCCAGAATCTGAAAAGACATTATCGCTACATGGATTCACATAAACGTATTGAAAGAAAACAAAAAAGTTTCCACAGTGGATATTCGGATTAAGTAGTTGGGATTCTAAAGTTCCCAACTCAGGCCAAAGAGTTACCACCTCCTTTATTACATATAATGTATCTTAAGGTAAAAAAAGTCCTAATCCGTATAATTAGTATTCAAACGGATTAAGTTAATTCTTTTTTGATTTCTCTAGAAAACCAATCAGTCAACTTTCAAAAAGAAGATGATTCTTTCTTTTATACAATTTCGGAATTTCGTTGAAAGGAATTGCGCTGAATTGAGCGGAATTACGCGTGGAATTGTGCTCGAATTGCGCTGAATTGTGCGGAAATGTGCGGAATTGCGCAGAATTGCGCGATATTACAGGAATCAAGGATTCAAGGAATCAAGGAATCAAGGAATCAAGGAATCAAGGATTCAAGGAATCATGGAATCCAGGAAGGAATCAAGGAATCAAGGAATCATGGAATCATGGAATCAAGGAATCAAGGCTGAGAGAATCAAAGAATCATTAAATTCATCATTAAAAATTTAATAATTATCAAATTGAATTTCCCACTCCCCCCTTGAACGGATAAAAGGATGAAAAATGAGAATAAGATATTTTTAAAAACATTGAAATAGGTTTTAAAATAAATATCCTTTCGATTTAAACCAAATTGCCAATCTAAGGGAGGGGGGCTTTAAGAAGTGTTTATTACATATTGCATTTTGAAAATTGAAAATATGCATCTAAAACGTTGACATGAAGCATTAAAAGAATTGTCACGATGCAATTTTAGAATTGGTTTGATGCCTTTTTAGTATTGGTATGATACATTTCTAAATAGAATGACGAAATACACTTTTTATTTGCCTAAATGATTTTACATAGAATTTACATGATGAATTTTAACTTTTTAAGAAGTGAAAAAACTCTAAAATGCTTGAACCTTTAAAAAATGTCATTCTTGAAAAAAAGATTTCCACGTTTAACGTTTATTCTAATTACAGTTTAAAAGTTTACTCCTTTAGAATCAATATTATGAAGAATTCTTTTATAAATTCATCAAAAAAGTTAGAAAAACTCAAATCAAAGATGTTTCTCATTTATTTTTAAAGATACAGTGGAACCCACTAACTGTGAAATAGGAAGACGACAGAGTTTTTCAAGCTATTGGTAAATCAATTTGTTTTATTGATACATAAAATATTCATAAAAAGGCATGCTTCCTGTTATACAGTTTTGTGGGTCTCACTGCAACATATTTAATCGTTTTTTTCTGAAAGTTCAAACCTTTTCATAAAGAGAAATTTAATAATTTTCAATTTCTGATCTAGGCAAATACTTTTATTTATGTAAAATCTCAATTTTTAGTCAAAACATTATACTGTAAAAAATGTTAGGTAGGTGTTGACACATTTAAACTTTTTTAACTTTCATCTCATGTTCTAAGAAAATAAGCAAAATTTAAACTAAACAAACTCCAATAAGCAAAACAGAGAAACTCATTTTTAAAATATTTTTTTTTACAGGATTTAGGAACAATTATCAAGAAAGTGAATTCAGGAACATGGATTCAGGAACATGGATTCAGGAACATGGACTCAGAAACATGGATTCAGGAACATGGATTCAGGAACATGGATTAAGGAACATGGACTCAGGAACGTGATTCAGGAACATGGATTCAGGAACATGGATTCAGAAATATGGATTTAGGAACATGGACTCAGGAACGTGATTCAGGAACATGGATTCAGGACCTTGGATTCAGGAAAATGGATTCAGGAATATGGATTCAGTAACATGGATTCAGGAACATGGATTCAGGAACATGGATTCAGGAACAGGGATTCAGGAACATGGATTCAGGAACTTAGATTCAGGAACATGGATTCAGGAACATGGATTCAGGAGCAGGGATTCAGGAAAATGGATTCAGGAAAATGGATTCAGGAATATGGATTCAGGAACATGGATTTAGGGACAAGGATAAGGAACATGGATTCAGGAACATGGATTCAGGAACATGGATTCAGGAGCATGGATTCAGTAACATTGATTCAGAAACATGGATTCGGGAACTTGGCTTCAGAAATATGGATTCAGTAACATGGATTCAGGGACAAGGATCAGGAACATGGATTCAGGAACAGTAATTCAGGAAGAAAAATTCAGGAACGTTGAATAATATCTACTTTAATTGAGACGTCTACATTTATATTTAAAGTTTGTGGACCACACATGCATTACATAGTATACGAAATCTCATCTAGCAACTGTGACGTCATTTTATATTTGCAAAACACTCGCTGCATTTTAACCGAAATTTATGCCATGCACCAGGCTTAAAGGAACTATTGACGTAAACTCAAAACTTATTTTTAGAGTGGCGTGTCTGCAACCATGCTTTTTAAAGCTCTATCCTAATCTAATCTGCATGTCTCTCTATAAATTGAGGGTGACTTGAAATTAAGTCTAGAATCTGCACTTTAATCATAAAAGACAATGTTTAGAATTAAAACATACGTATATAAGAAGTGACAGATTAAAAGTTGAAACCTTTTTTAATAGAAACAAATGAAGAAATTGAAAATTTGTCTCAAACTTGATTGTTTACATCTTTGTAACCTAATGCACCCTGGACTAACCAGAGTGAGAAGCATTCGGTTTCTATTATTTGAAATATCAAACGTGTTTTTTGGTCTATAATTCAACAATCTTTAAACGTACAAATTTGTTTATTTTATACTTTTTCGTTCAAAACGTATATGCCGACCAAACAGTATTTAGGAATAAAGGTTAAAAAATAATTTTTAAAAGGTCAAATTGTGGTCGAAAGTCAAAGCTTTCAAAATATTGACAGAACTGTTAAATCCACGCGAATGGCGGAGACCTTAGTGTTTTAAACTATTAGTTTTGTTTGATCGAGTATGGTCAAATTATTATCAAGGGTTTACACAATCAGATTACAAAGGTATGGGGTTTAGAAAATCTAAGTTTTTGGAACAATTGTGCAGTGTAAACACTACAGAGACCCATTTAACTTAAAAAGGATTTGATGAGTTTCCCGTAAAAAAAATTCTTTATTGCATTTTTTCTTCGACAGAAATGCGAAAAAGCGAAATTTTCTGCGAAAAAAGTAGATTTTCGCGAAACATATTTTTTATTTCGCTGAAGACCAGGAAGATGATGTTTAATTTAGCACAACGTTAAAAAGCAAACTTTTAGCAAATACAATTTTGAAATATCAAGAACTTGTCAGATTAAAACGGATTTCAAAAATCAATTAAAAAAGCTAAATATTTAAAAAAAAAAGAAAACAAGAAAGGATTCCCATCTCTTCTAGACACAATGATTGTCGTATTCTTTCTTTCTTTTGAATTTTTAGAATGGAGTTTTTAGTGAATTTATTGAATTTAAAATTGGGGTTTATATTGTTCAAATTTTGTTGGATAGTAGAGGAACACAATTTCTAGATGCAAGGGGGTTTGCCCCTCCCCCCCCTGAAGAATTAGGGTGGAACAATTCCCCCTATCTCTACTTTATTCTAATGTTTCATAAATCTATTTACTTAAGTTTGCCTGTTTAGTTTTCAGTTTACACTGTTTATAAACTTTAGAGATAGAGGGGGGGGATTTATTTCTTGGGTTTAAACATGTGACGTCATAACTTATAAAACCATGACGTCATGAAATTCATCTCTCTTCTTCAAGATTCAGGTTCTTTCCTTGGAATTCGACAAGATCAGCAAATTCTAAAGTTTCTAAACAAGTTGACTTAAATATCTCTTGACATCTTTTATGTACAGAACTACATCTTTTATATACATAATAACATCTTTTATGTACAGAACTACATCTTTTATGAACATAACTACATCTTTTATGTACAGAACTACATCTTTTATGTACAGATCTGCATCTTTTATAGACAGCACTGCATCTTTTATGTACAGAACTTCATATGTTATGCACAGTACTCTTTTATGTACAGAACTGCATCTTTTTTGAACAGAACTACATCTTATATGAACAGAACATGAACAGAACTACATATTTTATGAACAGAAATGGATGTTTTATGTACAGAACTACATCTTTTATGTACAGAACTACATCTTTTATGTGCAGAACTGCATCTTTTATGAACAGAACTACATCTTTTATGAACAGAGCTACATCTTATATGAACAGAACTGCATGTTTTATGTACAGAACTACGTCTTTTATGAACAGAACTACATATTTTATGAACAGAAATGGATGTTTTATGTACAGAACTACATCTTTTATGTACAGAACTGCATCTTTTATGAACAGAACTAAATCTTTTATGTACAGAACTACAACCATGCTTATGTATTTGTATAATATTCTCAATTGTAAACTCTTTGTAAAACTCACATGGAGAAAATAGCCAGATTTAAACGTTTGAAAGGGTACCTTTGGGAATCATGCATACCCCTCTTTAAATGTAGAGTTACTTGAAATTACTACTACAGCCCCTTTAAAGGTTTGCTATTGAAATTGAATATTACAAAAGATGGTTAATGTATGGGGTTTCTTTAATATTGTCTAATTTGAAAGAATCAAATGCTTTTCACAAGTCAAAATTTAACTTTCTTAACTGTATCCTGAGGTGGGGCAAGGAGAATTGAATAAAGATTGTAAACAATAACACAAATGATGAACTCATGTCGCGTTTGTTTACATTAGATCGGCTGCCTTTATTATTGTTGTTACCCAAAAACTAGTTCTTCAGCAGTCCTAAAACGTCACAGCAAAGTGTACGTAAACCCAATCGCCCCCTCCTTCAATTCAATTCTCCTTGGGGTGGAGGCTGGAAATTCTTTTTTGTTAAAGGGACTGTAAGCGTAATTTCAAGTGACCTTCCAATCAAAGATGGAATACCCCTATTTACAATGGTACCCTTAAAACCGTGTTCTAATCAATAATAAGAAAGCTACTGTCACTTTCCAAGGTTAAAAATTGTTCAAATCTGACAATTTCCGAAATCTAAAAGAAAAACTTTTTTGGACACCATAGAAATTTAGAAGTAGACAAATTATGATAACATTTTTATTGCATGATATTTCCTTTGTTTACTCCAAATTAACCCAAATTCTGGGATATTTCCTGTAATGTATTTGAAAGCAGACAATGTTCTGGGCATACTTTACAGATGTGTAGAAAAAACCTAAATTCTAGACACCCTGTCAGATAAAGGTTGATTATATTATATAACACCCTGTACCTATCTATATATATATATATATGTGTGCTTATATTCTAGACACCCTGTAAGGATATATAGGTAGAAAGGTAGACACCTTTCCAGTAGTATATAGATATATATACATATTCATATATATATTCATATATACATATACACCTACCTAAGCAATATTTTATTTAGTTTAATCCCATATTTGCAAGCACACAGTGTATAGTGTCCACTACATATTCATTCATTCATTACGTTTAGATTTGTTTGAAAATTATTTAAAAATTATTTAAGGGAAACAAATTTCTTTTTGCTTTTAAAGATTTTATTTTTNTCTACACGGTCACTTTAATTTTGCCTCTTCAAGGGACTGCAAACATAATTTCAAGTGAACTTTAAAGGGACTGTAAAGGGAAAAATGAAAGGGGGTACAGGCTTGAACCTGAGAATCTCAGGATTTTATTGAGACATGTACCAGTTTGATCTGATGTTCCTGTCTCGAGAAATTGATATAAAACTGTTTCAAAATTATACCAAAGCGTATATATATATATTTATATCAGATTTTGTATAAAAGTTGTAGTATTAAACAGACCATATTCAACAAATACGCAACCAATCTGAAAAAAAATGATATCCCAGAGGAGCCGAAGAAGAAGTTTGCCTATTATTATTTGAATTTAATAATTTTTTATTTCTAATAGATATAATTGATAATATTATTTATGTGTTCGGATCATGTCACCAGAACTCCAACCAATGGTAGTGCAGTATTATTGTCACGTGTCTCCATCTGTATCAAGTGACCAGTAAACTGCACTCTCATTGGAGGGAGTTCTGGTCACATGATACGGACGTTATCTTACATATATACGTTTTGGTATGATTTTGACACAGTTTTATGCCAAAATCTCGAGACAGGAACATCAGATAGATGTCTCATTCAACTCCCTGAGATTCTCAGGTTTCATCCTCTTCACCCTTTCATTTTTCCTTTACAGTCCTTTTAACAGAAAAAAAAACAAATAAAAAAATTTTGTGATGCAAAAATATTAGCAATATTATGATGTAAAAAATTAATTTCATTTATTATGGTATTGTTAAAAACCACATTTAAAATCTTTAAAAACTCTTTTTCAAATTGAGTGCGCCCTCTGAAAAGCATGTACAGAAAACTCGGAAATAGGAAGACGACTTTCAGACTTAAGATATGACTTTAAATAGTCCAATAAGCATGGTATAGAAATTGTACAGGTAAAACAGAATAATATTAATTATCTATCTTTACTATTATTATCAATACTGTTTATTTCTTATCCTTTCGAAGGTTTAAGATTTATTTCAAATGTTTCTCTATTTCTATTTCTAGGCAAAATTAGTGAAGCGAACAGAAAGTATAAAGTAAGTATATCTTTTATAAGTTGTTGATGAAAATCCCCCCCCTCTTCGAAATGTAAAGTTGAACTGTTATCTATATAATAATTCCCTTATGACATTTTTTTTACAAATTTATTGAATTAATGTGCTTAAAAACGTACATAAAGTATTTAGTGAAATATAAAGAAAAGTTCATTTATCATTTCATGGATTTATTGAAAAATAAGTGGTGGTTTAGGACTTGAGTAAACTTTGTTCTACTTCTTCTCTTGTTGGTTGGATTCAAAATCAAATTGTAGAGAAATGATTCAAATATGTTTACATTGTTCAACTATTTTCCGCTATTCATTAAATCTTGTCTCAGAGACAGAATTAATTGAATTTGCGCTATCGCTGAACTTCCAGTTTAAATTTGAATCGCGCCGATTCAAATCCTTCCTGAAACTTTAAATCGGTGGTTCAAATTTGAACCGGCAGTTGCATTTAGCGGTGTATACTTAAATTCAGTAAATTCGGTCCCATGGGCTACGATGCTTTAGTTTGAAAACTAAATTTTTGAATCCATGGGTCTGTCAATACATGCCGTGTAAAGACGAAATTTTATAAATTTTATACAATTCCTTTTTAATTTGACACGGTCTGTAAAGTTTAAGAAATAAGACTAAAAAACATTTTTTATTTTATTTTAGGGAACAAAGATGCGAAGAGGAACAAATAGAACGGATAAAAAGTAAATAATTTTAATTTAAAGTTTCCAGGGACTGTACCCAAATTTTAATTTGTTTAGAACCTTCTCCATCTCCTGCACCTTCCCCTTCTCCTGGGACACCTCCAGCACCTGAGAGAAGAACTCCTGTCCCCCCAGATTCTCCATTATTAACGAAGGTGAATCTCACGGAAATTTCACTTTACGGGGATAATTCATTTGCCGCACTATCCCCGTTTGCCTAATATAGTCTGTTATTGTACTGCACAGTTTGCTCTAGCTGGTCTAAAGTCTGTAATTGTACTGTTCTGCTTGCTCTAGCTGGTCTAGAGTCTGTAATTGTACTGAACAATTTGCTCTATCTGGTGTAGAGTCTGTAATTGTACTGAACAGTTTGCTCTAGCTGGTCTATAGTATGTAATTGTACTGAACAATTTGCTCTATCTGGTGTAGAGTCTGTAATTGTACTGAACAGTTTGCTCTAGCTGGTCTATAGTCTGTAATTGTACTGTACAGTTTACTCTAGCTGGTCTAAAGTCTGTAATTGTACTGTAGAGTTTGCTCTAGCTGGTCTAAAGTCTGTAATTGTACTGTACAGTTTCCTCTACCTGGTCTAAAGTCTGTAATTGTAATGTACAGTTTGCTCTAGCTGGTCTAAAGAAACCATCATCATTGGAGAACTATCAGAGACTCGTCTTATCGGAGACCCTACACGTCTATCTCGTCGAAGATCCCAGATTTTCAACATTGACCCCAACTTTTCATAGCTGTCTGGATCCATGTGAACAACAATCCTTAAATCACACTTATTGAAACTGCACAACAAATACTCAATTCTTTTCAAAGTTTTAAGAATTGCTTTTTTGAAAAGTGATTTTCTGGTAGCTTGAAAATTACCTTTTTACGCATTTTTTTCAGTTCAAACAATAAAAGTGGTATTTTATGTTTTCTAGTTTATAGTAGACATAATTATTCTGCTTTTGTTTCAAATCTCCCTGCAGGCTGCAATAGCCTACTTTTTCATTTTCCCTGGTTCACCCTGTATATGGTGATTATTACGCCGTCTTTAAAAACTCTTTTTAAAATGGAGTGCGCCCTCTGAAAAGCATGTACAGTGATAACCAGAAAACTCGGAAATAGGAAGACGACTTTCAGACTTAAGATATGACTTTAAATAGTCCAATAAGCATGGTATAGAAATTGTACAGGTAAAACAGACTCATTTCACTTAATTAGTGTTTTAATAAGATCAACTATTTGCTTTGTAATAACATCAGATATACTTATGTATTGCTATAAAGTCGTCTTCGTATTTTAGAGTTTTCTGGTTATCGCTGTATCATCATATGGTATGGCGGGACGGGTCGATTCTGTTTCTCTTATATTCCATGCTCCTTCTTGATAAACCTCCATTATTCTGATCTTTTAATTTTAGAACCTCTCTCCAACTCCAGAAACAGAAGCTCATGGGACAATCACAGGTAAAAAATAAGAATTGGACGTATCTGATTACTGATCTCCTCAAGATCTAATTTTATAATCCTTATATCTTTGCGACCTAAAGTTGCGTTTTAAATTATAAATTCTTTAATAGATAAAATAGTCAAAATTTGAAATATCAATCCTTGTTTCAGTAATTTTACTTTATCAAGGGTTCCTGCAAGACCAGTTGGTCGGTGAACCCGCGGCAAAGTACAATTTTATCGTCTTTTACGATGAAATTTTGCGATTTTTTCAAGAAAAAATCGCAGAGCGGGTCTTTATTTCGCTTAATTGTCCCAAGGGACGTTAAATAACTTAACGTCCCTCTGTTTGGGGAATCATAGGTTGGTAGTGAATTGTTTAAAAGACGGTAAAAAAAACTATTAATAACCAAATTTCTAGTTGTCGAACAGTTTCGGAAAAATGAAAATTAAAGCAAACTTAAAGGAGAAAATTCAAGAAACACAAAAGGTTAGATTATCATCTTTATTATCATTATCATTATTATTATTACTATTATTATTATCATCATTATCATTATTATTATTATTATCATTATTATTATTATTATCATTATTATTATTATTATTATTATTATTATCACTATCATTAATATTACTGGTATAATTATTATTTATATTTATTATTTTGATTATTATCCTTTCAATCATTGATGTAATCATCATCAAAATTATTATTATTTTCATCATCACCTTTATTTTTTATTATTGTAATAGTTATCATTATATAATATCTAATAATATTAATTATCTATCTTTACTATTATTATCAATACTGTTTATTTCTTATCCTTTCGAAGGTTTAAGATTTATNGTACAGTTTGCTCTAGCTGGTCTAGAGTCTGTAATTGTACAGTACAGTTTGCTCTAGCTGGTCTAGAGTCTGTAATTGTACTGTACAGTTTGCTCTAGCTGGAGTAGAGTCTGTAATTGTACTGTACAGTTTGCTCTAGCTTGTCTAGAGTCTGTAATTGTACAGTACAGTTTGCTCTAGCTGGTCTAGAGTCTGTAATTGTACTGTACAGTTTGCTCTAGCCGGTGTAGAGTCTGTAATTGTACTGTACAGTTTGCTCTAGCTGGTCTATAGTCTGTAATTGTACTGTACAGTTTGCTCTAGCTGGTCTAGAGTCTGTAATTGTACTGTACAGTTTGCTCTAGCTGGTCTAGAGTCTGAAATTTTACTTTTTAAAGTTTTAAGAATTGCTTTTTTAAAAAGTGATTTTCTGGTAGCTTATAAATAACCTTTTTACGCATTTTTTCAGCTCAAACAATAAAAGTGGTATCTTATGTTTTCTAGTTTATAGTAGACATAATTATTCTGCTTTTGTTTCAAATCTCCCTCCAGGCTGCAATAGCCTACTTTTTCATTTTCCCTGGTTCACCCTGTATATGGTGATTATTACGCCGTATTTAAGTATTTGATAAGAAGCCCAGGAATGTATGTATTCACACTCTGACCCTGAATATTTAAACCCTGGCTGTCGGTCAAGCTGTAAATATTTCAAGTGCGAATACGATCAAGAAATATTAAATAAATTAGGTTTACGGTGCCAATTGCGTATTCAAGGGAATGAAGATGTAATTCAAAATGACGCACTATTTTGTATTTAAGAAGTCTTTATACTGATATCTTCTACATTTCTATTCCGATTAGGGTTTCCAGCGAACAAAAACCTTCGAGAAAAAAATGAAGAAAAAAAATCGTTTGTATTTCGCGAAAATTAATTAGGCAAAAAAATGCGAAAAATTATTTCACAAAAAACCATAGCTGCAACAATTAATTGCGCACAACAACTGAGAGCTCCGTATTGGAAGTTTTATTAATTATTAAAAATTAATGATTTCTCTTCCGTATTTTTTTTGCAAAGTTTTCTTATTTCTTTTTTTCGCGAAATTTTTGCATTTCCTTTCTCGCAACAAATTTTTTTGCAAAACAGAATAAAGCGAAATCTCGTGAAAAAAGGCGAAAAACTTTCGTATTTTTCGCGAAAAAACAAAATGAAAAATCGAAAAATTTTCCGCGATTTACAACAGTACTCTAAAAACTTTTGTGTGTTCAGAGTGTTTGTCGAGCACAGAGATATGTGTGTATAAACTTATCAAGTCCCGCTTGTATTCAGCTGACAATTCCGGGGTGCACCGTGTTGAGTTCAGACTGTTTAAATGGAGGGCATAGTCCCTTTAATATTAAATCTCACACAGTTTTTCGATATTTTATAAAAGACAAATTTTTTCTATTATAATATAAATGCCGGTAAACTGAAACTATATGTTGTTTATGCTTTCAGACAGATTTTAAGCAAAAATGCGCTGAATATTTTGCGCAAAAGTTTAAATCACTTTTGGGCCTGAGGGCCCTCATTGACTTTGCAGTAGTTAGATAGATTTAGTTTTGTCTCTTTTCTCAAAAAAGGGATATTTTAATTATTTTCTAATAAAGGTGAAATCAAGAGCAAAGATGTCAATGCCCGGTACCCTAAAAAGCTTTGTCTTATCAAGTATGATTTATAGTTTAATGTTTATAATTTTGAAAAACATATATGAATTTTCAGAATTTAACACTTTTAAACCTAGAATCTTCCAAATTACTGATAAGATTAAGGTTTCTAAGGTACCATTGTGAATCGGGTTGTGGCATTTTGCATAAAGCGTCATATGAACTTACGCTTACAATACCTTTAAACCGCCATTTTTTACTTTCGGGAACTCTAGAAATAAAAAAGATGATAATTTTTCAGTTTAAAGTTTTAACATTATCTTTAATTTTATAATTCTAATGCGCATTTTAAACTTTTTTCCTCAAAAGTAAAGCAGCCAAATATTTAAATCTGTCAGATTTAATTTCCAAAATTAATGTTTTAAGTCAAGTTAACTTATTAATCAACTTTTATTTGAATTTAAAGGTCAGATAGAAAATGTTTATTAAAGTGGATTTTTACACTTTAAAAAATATTATTTCTGGGTCGGGAGAACTGATCATTCGCAAAAAATAAATTTTTTGCATAGAACTCGATATCTACGGTGTAAACTTTGAAAGCTAGCTCTAAATAATTTATCTTAGTAACTCATCTAGTTAATTTAAATTTTTCCGTCGTGTCAAATATTTTAAATATCTCATTATACAGGGTGTATCTGAATATATCTCAATATACAGGGTGTATCTGAATATATCTCAATATACAGGGTGTATCTGAATACATCTCAATATACAGGGTGTATCTGAATATATCTCAATATACAGGATGTATCTGAATATATCTCAATATACAGGCTGTATCTGAATATATCTCAATATACAGGGTGTATCTGAATATATCTCAATATACAGGGTGTCCCTGGATATATCTCAATATTCAGGGTATATCTGAATATATCTCAATATACAGGGTGTATCTGAATATATCTCAATATTCAGGGTTTCCCTGGATATATCTCAATATACAGGGTGTCCCTAAATATATCTCAATATACAGGGTGTCCCTTAATATATCTCAATATACAGGGTGTCCCTGGATATATCTCAATATATAACAAGGGTGACCCTGAATATATCTCAATATACAGGGTGTCCCTGAATATATCTCAATATACAGGGTGTCTTCTTGTTAGAGGGTCAGAAAGAAATTAAAGTTTAATTCAAGTATTCAGGTTCTATATTTAATTCTGCTTTTACAATCTCATCTCTGTATTTGATTTAGGTATCACAGGACCCGATCAGAAAACGGCTTCGTAGCTTTAACAAATCCTTGCGACGCGCTCGCAGCTTCAGATCCAACAGGGAGAAAGAAGTCTCAAGGTACAGAAAAAACTAAACTCTAAATTTGAAATAGCGTCCAAGTATCACGTGGTCATGAAACACAACAATTGGGAAATGTCGTCTTCTAAGCAAAAATAGATAAGATCCGCATATGACGCTATAGAGGCGAGAGTGACGTCACATGCGGATTTTATCTTGCTATACTAGGCAAACGACGACATGTCCCGTACATTGAAGCAACCTTATTATGCAACTAGCTTGGGAACCCAGCGCTGCTCAGGTTACTAAAAAATACTTCATCGTTTACCCACACTTGAACGATTTTACCGGGAAACTAAATTTTGGCTATTAAAGTCGACCAATTCAACTTAGAATCTCAAAACCAAAGTAAGAACATTCCCGTGGGCCTCTCAAGTTCTCCAATCAAAATTTGAGGCAAATCGGTTCAGGGGTTCCTGAGTTATGATCGGACAGACAGACAGACAAACATAGGTTACAACTCTGGTGTACACCGACCCATTTTACTTAATATACTCGTAAGATGAATTTCAACCAAGTGGTAAAACTATTTGCTTTATAAAAACATTATATAAACATAATATTGCTAAAATTCTGTCATTTTATTCGTTTTGTGTACTGTCCTGTCCTGTTCTGTGTACAATCTCGTTTTACCGCCTATAGTGCATACGTACTGCAATACAAATCTTAAAAGTCAGAATGGTACTTCAAATGAACTAACATTTTCAGTGGCTTGGTAATAGAAAATAATTTTGTAAATCTTAAACTGAAGTTTTTGTTTACCCTAAAAACACTGTTAAAAAGAATGTCTAAATTTCAGAGAACCCTTAGACCCACCTCCGGACTCTAAAAATGATCATGTAATCGGAAGAGAGGTAAGTTTTCATCTTAAAGGGACTGTAAAGGAAAAATGAAAGGGGGTATTATAGGATGAAACCTGAGAATCTAAGGCGCTGAACGATACATATAAGACATCTATCTGATGTTCCTGTCATTAGAAATTGATATAAAACTGTGTTAAATTTATACAAAAATTCATATATATATGGAATTTTGAATAAAAGTTGTAGCATTAAACAGATCATATTCAACAAATACGCAACCAATCTGTAAACGATGATATCCCACAGGAGCCTGAGAATCTCAGGTTTGCTCCTATTATAATTTTTTAGTTTTTATTTTGCATTTTTAATAGATATAATTGATAATATAATTACATATAGTCCGTATTACGTCACCAGAGCTTCAGCCAATGGCAGTGCAGTATCGTTGTCACGTGATACAGGCGGAAATCACGGGAACCGACTTTTTGCAGTTTATTTAGTTTTAAAAAACTTTACTCAAATATATTTTACTTAGAAATCAATTTTACTATAATATGGATGCCATAAATTATTTATTATTTTTCTCTTTGGTAACAAACAGCTTGACATATTATGGAAGAAGACTTTTAAATTATTCACCAACTGTCATGTTTCGTGGGACACCTTGTACATATTCAGTTCAACCACCATACATTGCCGGTCACTCCCTTTAAGAAAGAAACATGCGTGTTGCAGTTGTCCTTGCGACACTATACTGTAACAAATGCCTTACTCCAAAAATTTTTTTGTCTGTATCAATCCAGATACCACTTTCTCTGTATTCTTAAGTATGTATCATTCGGATACAAATCGCTCTCGAACTGTATACTCTACCAAATACGTCTGACCGTAATAAAACAAAGGTTCATATTCAACTAAACTATATTTTGGGTTTAATAGTACATGGGAATAATATGGACCGATAAGTCTTCTTAGAAATTAATAAACGTAATGATATATATACAAGACATATGAATTAGGGTTATTACTAGATTTATTACATGTCTATTTCTCAGGGAGACTGATTTGATATAGTTTTATGTTCATTGCATATAATTAATTGTAGTAAGAAAAAAAGACGACATATTGTTTTCGTATTCCATCCCTTTCAGGTGAGTTTTCTGATCCGAAAGAGTCTGTTGGGCCGGTCAGGATGGAAGGTCATGCCCGAGGATGATTCTCTCAATCTTAAAATGAACAAGGAACTCTTCAAATTACTTTGCCTAATGATGAACATGCAGACAATCGATCTCACTTTTCCCAATGAACATGCAGACAATTAGTTTAACCAATGATTATGCAGACAATATCTTTGCCCAATAATCATCCAAACAATGAATTTGACCAGTGATGACGCAGACAATGAGTTTGCCCAATGATCGTGCAGACAATAACTTTGCCTAATGACCATGCAGATTGCAGACATGTCTGCACCATAACCAGTGATCATTCAGACATTGACTTTGTCGATGATCATGCAGACATTGACTTTGACCAGTGATCATAAAGACAATGACTTTGAAAAATTATTATGCAGACAATAACTTTGACCAATGACCATACAGAAAGTGACTTAGACCAATGATCATGCAGACAATGACTTTGGACAATGATCATGTGGACATTGACTTTGTCTGATGATCATGAAGACAATGACTTTGACCAATGATCATGCAGACACTGACTTTGCCCAACTATGAATTTGCTGTTGACTATTCTAAATATATAATCATGCTCATTTCCATTGAAAATATAAAAAGTATTTTTTAATATAATTTTTGAAGCTGAAATGAATAAACAAAAAAATTTCTTTTTCCTTTGAAATTTTGACAAGATTTTTGAATTTGAAGAGAATTTTTAGGATATTTTGAACCAAGTGTTAGAGAGAATAAGGTAACATTTCCTATTTTAGAATAACCTTAATATACCCGTAAATTTAAAGGTGCATTTGATGTTTTTACAATCTAAAGTCACCAATCATGTTCATTGCACTTTTTAAAGTTATATTCTTGATTCTAAAACTCTGAAATACGAAGACGACTTTTTTAGGATTTTAGGGTCGTCATTTAAGGGACTGTAAGCGTAATACCAAGTGAATATCCACGCATGAAGATTATAATTTCCGATTCACATCGGTACCCTTTGAACCTTTATCTGATCAATAATATGGAAGATATTGTCGTTTTTTCTATAAAGAAACCACAATTCTAAATAAACAGTTTTAGAAATCATAAATATTGATATCTAGTTCATACTTGATCAGACAAAGCTACAAAGGGAACCCTTGTGAATCGAGCATTGCCATTTTTCTTAGAGGGTTGCTTGAAATTACGCTTACAGGCATTTTAAGTCTCGTCCTTTCAGGGTAAACCCGCATATCATGCAGTAGTTTTTAATGTATTCATGTACTTTTTTCTAAGAAATGCAATACTTTTGATGAGAAGCGCCAATCATATGTCTATTTTTGTACCAAGATCATGTTGACATCAAGAAACTTTAGTCTAAAACTAGAAAGCGAATCCTTTAACCATGGTTAAACCCACCTTCAGCCTAGATAGACCTAGGGTTATAAATCCGAGCTGCGCTGATGCCTTAAACTATTACAATGTTTTTACCCATGGTTAAAGTTCACCATGTTTTAAAAAATTCTATCGTCTTTGATCAGCTTACCATGATTAGAATCTGATTTAACTATGGTTAAAATGTATTGAATTTCGGCCTTAAAAATTTTATTATCACTGCAAAAAAAATATATGATTTGATTTGAAGTATCTTTGTTAATATCGAAATAAATTATATTTGTTTTAAAATGTCCAACTACCTGTAAACTATCTAGAGATATGCAGTTCTGTGGTGAAGCGATCCCTGAGAAAATTTCAATAAGGGAAGAAACTGTTTTTTTAGATTAAAATTGTATAATTTTTTCTTTCATATTCAATGTTTATGGACAAAGGAATTCAAAAAATAAGTATTTTTTCTTAAAAATATTCTTTATGCATTTTTCATTTAAAATCTTAACTCTGTTAAATCTTCTGTTAAATTTTCATTTAATCCAAAAAGAAAAACGTAGTTTTTCGAGAAGACGACATATTAGCTAGAAAGACGACATTTGAAGCCGCGTCATTCTAAATATTACACTTTTTCCTAAAAACAGCATTTTCACAGAATACAATGAAGATCTATGCTTGGTGATTGTAAAAATCTGAATAACAAATAAGGGGAAAAAAGAATTATCGTAATTTGTAAATTATGATTTTTAAACATGATAAAAATAAAACTTTTCAAAAAAAAACATGTGATTTAAAAAAATGAAGATAACCTTATAACCTTGTATGTGCCTAAAAGGAAAGAAATAAAATTTTCAAAAATATGATGAATATTATCAGAAATGAATGTTGTTTTCAGTGGAAAGATAAAGCAAGTTGCCACGTCTATTTTCTTAACTTTATTTAAGCTTTTTACTCCTATCTCTAACAAAATTTTTAAAAAGTTCTCTTATCTTTTAATATTTATAGCCTTTATATCCTACGTAAATCAAACTTCAGTCATGTGACTGCTTTGTTAAAAGGAGGAAAATGGAGCCCAAGGCTAGGGCAGGTAAAAATACTGGGATAAACAGAAAATTCTAAAATAGGAAGACGACTTTAAGAATTAAGTAATAACTGTAAAAAGTCCAAAGAGCAAAAGACAGAGCTATTGTGCAATGTAAACAAATCCATTTTACTAAATTAGGGTTTTAATAAACTTTTAGAGTTGTAACAACATAAAATACTACAATGTCGTCTTCCTATTACCTTCTTTTCTGGTTATCACTGTATCTCCCAACTTCTCAGCCCTTTTCATTTTCATTATTTTCTTTAAAGATTTTTACAAGTTTTACAAACTTCGGTTGGGCAGTTTAATTTAGAGTAAAGACATGATCTTTGGTAACCATAATATATATATATATATATACAGGATGACAGTTGGCGAATAGTTTAAAATGTCTTCTTTCATAATTTGTTAAATTATTTTATACCCAAGAAAAATAAAAAAATATTATCGAAGTATTTTATTATACAAAGTATTTTTTAAACGAAATAAACTGCAATTTGAGTAAAAGATTTTTTAAAAACTAAATATACTGCAAAAGTCTTTAACATCTAATTTAGTATATAGAAAAAAACATTTAAAAATATTCATTAATAGTTGTTTTGATATCAAAGAAAATAATAAAAAATATTCAATGTCATATATTATACATAGTAATTTGGATTTATAATTAAAATATATTTGAGTAAAAGATTTTTTAAAAACTAAATATACTGCAAAAGTCTTTAACATCTAATTTAGTATATAGAAAAAAACATTTAAAAATATTCATTAACTGTCATGTTTCGCGGGACACCCTGTATATGATGTATATACAGGGTTCCCCTCAAAGTATGAGACTGCTAAGATGACTTAAAAATATTTGAATAAGAAAATTCAAATAAAAAAGTTTAAAGATGCCGAGATTCTTGAATATGAAAAAGTATACAATACAAATTTCGTACAGTCATCTCCGAAGGCTCATCCTTAGTGAGTAGCCATGTATCTAATATAATTTAGTAATCAGTAATAATTCTTAAGCATACATTTTTAATTTTTTAATAAAGCACAGGAGCTAGTACTGAAAATAAAATATAAGTAAAAAATTCCTAAATAGCGGATGTTTAAAAAATCTTTCGTGTTTGTATTTTATATTCTACTAGGCTTTCAGGGCGCTTCGTGCCAATCTTCTATTTAAATTGTGAACATGTTCTTTTTGTTTACATTTAAAAACAAAAAAGAAAAAAATGTTGCGGATTTAAAAATAAAATTTGCGGATTTTTAAGAATTTAAATTTTTTTACAAATTTTTTTTTAATTTTATCATTCATAAACCTTCCCTGTGATGTCCCACAAAAAATTTGGACCCGATCGGTTCAGCCGTTCTGACGTTTATTGGATTCAAACAGACAGACAAACAAACAGACAGACAAGCCAAATTTATATATAGAAGATGATTAAACAAATTATTCTAATGTCTTTAAACATCGTTTTTAAACTCATTGATTAAATTAAAATTACAGAGAGGACATTAGATGTCGTCTTTTCAAGATTTCTGTGTGTTTTGTTCACAATAACCCTGAGGCAGACGCCCAAATGAATTACCCGTAGTCGGCGTAGAATAAATCTGTAAAAGACGACATCTAGTGTCTTATCTGTTATTTTAAGTAATTTATGCTTCAAGAACAGAACAACAGTTATTATTACGGTGATGGTTATAATTAATAAATGTTATAAATATTCTGGCTTATGCTAAAAAAACATTTACTTGTCAGGCTGAGTAACATTTCAATAGCGTCGAGTTTTTGAACATTGATGGAAGATGAACAACTAAACCACTAATTTTAAAATTGTTTATGAACAAAAATAACGAAAATAAAAACACAAAAGAACTTATGTGTTTTTAAATAATTTTTTTACAATTTTCTACTGTTAACTGAACAATACATTTAGTTCTTAGCTAAGAACAAAAAGATATCGGAAAAGTAGACTTTTTGAATGATTATTAAACAATTTGGTAAAAAGTCTAAAAATGCCCAGCCTTACTTGGTGATCAGTTATTTGAACTAATCCAAAATTTCTAAACTTGCCTAGCCCTTACTTTAATTGCTAGAAATTAGTATTCTAAAAGTAATATTGAATATTGATATCTAAACTGGATCCTTTTTATTAAGCTCAGACTAAGATTTGAAATTAAACAAGGTTTCAAGCAAATCCTCTCTCTGTTCAGATGAAATGGAATCCTGGACTTCTGCTGAAGTTCAACAATTCCTGTTAAAGATGAAAATTAGTCAAAGAACCACCAGCATGCTATTTGAAGCTGGAATTAGTGGTGTTCACTTAAACAACTTTAATAACAATGACTACACAGATATAGGAATACCATTAGCTGATGCATTAATCATCCCGAAGCTCAGGGACAAATATCTAAAGGGTGGTGGGTCTTCACAAAATGAGGAGAGGCAGATTCCAAGAAGATTTGGAGAGCCTGTTGGGTCTAAGATAAAGTACAAAAATGGTTCCATTTTGCCTTGCGAGAATTCAAACTATTCTTTAGATGAACCTCTTAGAGAATTCAAAGAATTTTCTTTAGGTAAATATGTTTATTTTCTACAAATAAAAAGAAATATGTACCTGATTAGCATTAAGCTTATATGAACTCCAAAGCTCTATTGTTGAATACAGTCATTTTTTACTCAGAATAAACCTTATTTGCACACTATAAGGCTTTATTTTTTGTCCATTGAGGTTTTTTTTTATAAGACTTAGTTTTTATTTCCACAGACTGATTGTTGACTGGTTATTATTACTACATGTACATTTGTTTTACGAATATGAATCTTACAAGCATATTGCATTAAGCAAAATGCATATTATTTATTTTAGACACTCCAATGTCTCTGGAGGATGAGGAGAATGCTTTCATAAGTAAGCTGGGAAAATTTGCCAATGCTTGCATCAATTCACGCAAAAATGGAACAATATACTTTGGAGTGTGTGACTCCAGGGGAAAACATAAGCATGGAGAGATAAAGGGTGTGAACACCTCTCTTAGTTCTACATCCAAATATGAAGACTGGATAGAGAAACATTTTAGAAAAAATCCAAAAAGTCTGAAAAATTGCAGAAGAGATGAGCAAACCGCATTTTTAACTTGCATCAGTATGTTGCATGTTATTGAGATTGAAAACAATGATCGTGTTATATTAGAAATAGATATTGAACCAAAATCTTCAGTCTGTAAAAATCTAAAATTTAAGATTAATACAAATAAATATCCAGATGGAGTTTATTTCAAAAGAGAGGGTACATCAAGCATTCCTCTAGTTCCAAATAGCAGAGAAGAGCGTGAGTTTATCAAAAGAACTAGTGTGAAATGGGCTGAGGACAGAATGATACTAGAATCGTGCAAACAAATGCCTTCAAACATTCCTCAGGTATTGAACAAACTTCTTTGTAAAGGAGAACACAAGATACTAGACGGGGTTAGTGAATACCATTACTTCCTGGTTATAAATAGGTTTTGTGAGGAAGATTGCTGCAAAATGACTGACTCTTCTGCTTTTGAATGGGTAAAGCTGATAAATTGGAGGATCATCTTTGACTTTGATAAAAGAACCAAGGAAACAGGAATTTTGTCAAACTTTCATAGGAAGCATAATACCCTGATGCAGCCAAATTGTTTGTCTTTAGATGAGCTTCAAAATCTTATGCAAAAATACAACCATGGTCCACATCTGATGAAAGATTTGGAATATGGTAATCAAACAGTGCATGTTTCATGTGCAGGTTCAGAAAAAGATTCGGAACAATCTGATTTCCTTCAATGGCGTAGTCAATATTCCTCTCAGCTAAAAAGTCTTTTTGAAATTGCAACAGGACCGTCCATTTTAGCAAGTGCAAAACAGATGATATTTGTCATTTGTGCTTGCTCAGATGAGGAAAGTAGGAAATTTAAATATTTCTTGAAAAGCATTTGCATCAAACCTAGTTTACTGAAAGAGTTTTCATTTCTCAGTCAAAGTGAAAACCATCTTAAATTAGTTCGAGAGACAATATTGGAAGAGTACGAGTCTGATGATGAGTCAAAGCTTAGTGGATTTATAGAAAATTCGCTTTGTGTAAGTTGGGCAGAAGTATCTGCTTTTGTAGAGAGAAGTCAAAACATACCAACAGGAAAGAAGTATGTCCGCACATCCAAACAATCAGACATTGAGCTGAAACCTCACGTTTTGAAAAAGTTTGAAAAAGATGGTTTGTCAGTTTTGGCTTCAAATGAATGTGATGAGCTAAAAACACTAGGTGGAAAAGAAATCACAGAATTATGTAATAAAACTATGATATCCTTTCTTCAAGGGCAAGATGCAAGTTGGGAACTTTTTGCCTTTGCTGAAGGGATGAGTACATATGCATTGAAAGAAGCAATTCCATGTGGTTTAATTGATAGAGAAATTGTTACCAGGATACAAACAAAAATAGTCAGCAGTCTCTCAAATAAAGAAAAGTGCATTGTACCTATCAGCGTTGGACATTTACCAGGCACAGGAGCCACAACAGCGTTAAAGCAGGTTATGTGGAAACAAAGGTCTGAATACAGATGCATGATGGTGAATGGAAGGATCCTAGATGATATAAATATCAACAAATTGGCTGATGATATCTTGGCTTTTAGATCTTTTGGGGAGGAAGATGCTGTCATTAAAGGCAATGAGAAATTGTATACTTGTCTTCCACTTCTAATTTTTTTAGATAATTCAGACAAGGAATCAGCTGAAAAACTTCAGAGAAAAATACAAGACGAGATTGATTATCGAGGAATAAAGTTTGAGATTGCAGTTGGTGTACTTCTGTATGTGTGTACAGGAAAGTCAAAAGGTGCTTTAGCTCTGAATGTTGAAGAACATTTTTCTCCTGAAGAAAAGTTACTTTTTGAAAGCAAACTGTACCAGTTTGAAAAGTGCATTGAAACCGAGGATATTATCCCAACTGACATGCTTGGATTTCTGACATTCATGAACAAAGATTTACCAGATAAATATCAAGACTATATAGCTCGAGTAACTAAAGAAATTATAGGCCAGATAGATGGTGCATATCCTGCAGAGCTGAAACTTCTCAAGTATCTAGCTGTTTTCAAATGTTTTAATCAAACAGGAAACATCTCAGTATCCCATGCTAAGATGGTGTTGGGATATGGAATAAGTAATAATCCAAAAATTGACTTTCTGCAGTATACATGCGAATATTTTAAGATAATAGTGAGGACAGAGACTGAGTTTGAGCTAGGCCATGGACACTACTCTGTTTTAGAAATATCTCATTTGCCTGTTGCTGAAGCAATTTTGAACCATTTCTTAGATAAAGAATCATTGTTAGATGTAATGCTAGAAATTCTAAACAACAAGCCATTGGTGAAACATAGATTTCTCCAATCTAAATTTATCAATGACCTCTCAGAAATGGCTACAAAAAGAAGATGGAGTCCTGTTGGTCCTGATTCTGAAAAAGAAAAGGATATGATAAGAAAAAAAAGAATCATTTTCTCCCTTAATTATCAGACTAAAAGATGACAGAAAGCAAGATGCAATAACATTACTGAAAGAGTTTATGCTTTCCATTGAACAAGTCAGTAATTTGCCAGTAGCAAAATACATTGCTAATCTCAATCAGACATTGTCTAGGTTACATCTGGATTACAAGGATTTTGAGGAAGCCAAAGTATTTGCTAAAAAGGCAATCAGTTTAAACGAATATTCTTCAGCTTACCATGACACTGTTGGGCAAATATTTAAGTGGGAAATAGCAACTTATTTAGTTGTCACCAGTGAAGTGGAGAGCAACAAGATTCTTGAGTTAGCAGTGGAGGCTGTTAACAGCTTCAGAAAGGCACAAGATCTAGCTAATCTCAACAAATCACCAGTTCTTCAAGTAGAAGCAGATTCAGAAGAAATTAATGATGATGATACCTTCCCAGTCAGGTGTTCTGGATACAAGGGAGAAATACAGACAATTCATACAGGAATAAATATAAACTGACAATGTTCACTTAATATGTAAATTCTTTTCTACTTCATTTGAAACTATTTGATTTGACATTGCAAAATTTCTTAGGGAGACTGAATATGTGACTAAAAACTGAAACAGAGAAATTTTTATAAAGATTTAAAAGTGAAAAATTGGTCTTATTCTTGAAAGATTTTAATTTGTTAATTCCCAACATGGGTATCAAAAGAGTTTAATTTAAAAAAACCTTTTCTGATGAAATTACATTTAGAAGCTAATTAAAATGTTCCTGCATATTTGTTTACTTTATATTTTTGTTAGTTGCTGATGAAATTTTCAAAAAAGTCCCTGATTCCTTAAAGAATAACTTTAAAGAGTTTATAACTGGAAAATCTGTCAGCTTACGTAAAACCACTGTTGAAGAAACAGATATTGATGTTGAAAAATTTGGAAAATTCATGCAAAGTTTTTTCGAAAGATCGCAATTTTGCTTATCAAGTATTTTAAAAGACACAGACTCAGAGAGGATACAAAATTCAGCAATTATGGAGATGCTCCCAAAATGGTGCAAAAAACAGCAGCATTTATTTGTTGAAAATGGATTTAGCAAACTTCCTGCTTTTCTTCAGAAGACAACAACAACACAAAGGAAGATTAAAGCAATCAAAGAATACTGCAATCTCAACATGGTCAGTTTTCTTTACTATGTTAAAGAAATGAATAAAAAAGATGTACTCTTAATGAGAGAGGTTTTTTCTGAAACACTTAAACTTGCAGAAAAAAATGACCATTTTCTTGATAACTATATAAGCTTATGCATGCTTAATGCTAACCTACCCACCTTAGATAACCCTATTGTACCCTTTCAAAAAGCCTGCAAGTTAAGTCATGACCTAGCCAGCATAACTAATGATGAGCTTTTACAATATGAAACATTTTTCTGGTACATTGCCCTGCATTGGCCAACTCAAAAAGAGTTGGAAGAGAGGAAACAATGTAGAACCTATGATGAGGTTAAGCTTCTTAGCTGTATTCAAAAGCTAAAAAAGCTTCAGGATGAGAGTGCATTCTTTTTGCAGAAGAGGAAAGAAATTCAAAAGCAGCACATGCGACACAATCCGATTTTTACCCTTAAAAATGAAATTGGGTTTGAAAAGCTAGCCTCTTCTTCAAATAATGTGGTTTACCCTTTGGCAAGATTACCAGGAAAAATCAAGGATAAGAGTAACTTGGAATATGTTTTACCAGGCAATAAAACTGTCACCATCAGAGCAGCAAACTTTAGGTACAATCGAGGAAGTTCAGCCCAAAATGTAAAATTTACACTTGGGTTCTCTCTAGCTGGACCTGTTGCCTACCAAATAGAAAGAAGTTCTGATGAGATTCAACGATATAATGATTTTGGAGAAGAATAATAGAAGGTATGCTTCAAGGAAGGGGGTTTCTGTGGATTAGACTAACATCTACTGTTTTACTCTACAGAGGTTTGATTCATCGCCATCACCGCATTTTAAATAAATTAATAATATTGTCAAGATTTTTTAAAACAGAATAAAATGGATATTCTCATGCTAAGATTTATCCCTTGGAAAAAGAGATAATATTGTTTTTAACCTTTGTGACAGAAACAATCTCAAGAACTGACGAGGGTCAACCCAGACCGAAATATATTTTCAATAAATGTGGAACTAACATCTACTTTTTTACTCTACAGAGGTTTGGTCCATCACCATCACAGAATTTTAGAGATAATATCTTTTTGGCACCTCAGAAAACTTAAAGGTTAATTGAACTGCTATTTAATTGCTAAACTTGCTAAATAAAATGCTTTATGAAGTATATATATTTTTTTTTAATGGTTACGCTCATGAAAAGATCTTAGCAATAAATTGTTAAGTGGAATAAAAATTTCTGTATTTGTATGTACATGTATGTATGTATATATGTAAGCTATAGCTGGCCAAACAGTGGGATTGAATGGGCTAAACTTTTTTGAAAAAACTCATTGAGTACTCTGGGGGTAAAATAGGATATCAACATTTTAATTATTCTTTTCAAATCAAATATATTTTCAAAAATCAGAATTTGGTTTTCAAGTTTTTCTAAAATTCCACAGACAACACCGGGCCCTTTGACAAGTGATACATAAAACATTATTAGTAGAAGAAGTCATAATCATTCTTCCTGGTCACTTTGTCCTCACTCTTATCTTGTCCACACATTTTTTCTCAACCCCTTTTTACAGTTAAGATTTTTTGGACCTCTATGACTGTAATAAACGAAAGCAATTTCAAAATTACAAACTATTCTTAATTTTTTTAATAATGAAATGTTGGACCATTTTGTAGAATTTTTGCATTATAATCATTTCATGAGATAAGATTTCCAACTTCATTTTGTCTGCTAAAAATTGCTATAAATATTATAGATTAGTGATGAAAGTTTTATACCTACCTGAATTGATAATAAAGTCTGTTTTGAATGTCCTCTACTGATTTAATACTTGTGCATTTAGCCAGTGATTGATGGTCAGGATAACACATCAATTTAATTTTCGTTTTTATTTTGTTAAGTTGACTCTTCCAATTTTTTATCTAAATCATTAACTGAGTAAGTAAACAAACAGGAGTATGGTTGTTTTACACAACACTAAATTTGTTTGGCGTGGTTTATGGTTTAGACTAAAAATATGCAAAAATATATTTGTTGGTATAAATAGAAAGAAAAAATCCACAAGCTCTATTTGCGATTAAAAGAGATTTAGTAGAAAAATAAGAGAAATATTCTTAATGCAAGGGAATTAAGTCTTTCTAATCCCATCATATCAACTTGATGGTGTTTACCTTTGATATTTCAAACTTAGATTATTTGAGTCAACAGAATTCATAGTTTGAAATTTTTAAGGTCTACGACATTGGGTTGCAAAGAAATGGATATTAAAAAATCAGAGTTTGTGGCAAAGACTCAATTCCTTTGCAACAAATCTTACAAAGTACAACATCAAAGTGTGGTTTCTGTATACTTTATCTTATTATTTGCATTTTGACACCTTTGTAAGTTTTGGAAAGATTTGGTTCAGATTGTGCTAATTTTTTCCGCAGGCATTGTAATACATCGCTTAGTTAATTTCGATAGATATTTATGAATCTTTGGAATAAAATGGAAAACACATTTTCAATTTTTTTAAAGAAAAAAAAATTTTACAAATAAATTGGACTGTGTTGAATAATGTTGAATCAAATTTGAAAAATTTTGAGACATAGACATAAAAAGCAATGGAAATAATTTTTTTAAGATGTGTAAGGGCAGGAATGTGGTGTAATTTTGGCATGCTTTCATGCGAAATTTTTTATTATTTCTCACACCACTTTGAAACTAAACAGCTAACAACTAAATGGGGAAAAAGCGAATGTAGTATGTGTGTCACTGTAGTGCATACGCCATTTCAATTGACTCTATGTTTAGTAGAGTGTTCGATTTACAACAATACTTCTAAAAGCTCTGTCTCTGAAATATTCCTAATTTTCCTTTTGAAAATTTATCATTTTTAATTCCTGGTTTCACTATAAAGTGACTTTGCACATTTCTGGTTCGGAATCAATAAAAGTAAATTTTCAGAATTAATTGTTAATCTAGAAAAACGACAATTTTTTCCACAGTATTGATCAGATAAAGGTTTCAAGGGTTTCGTTGTAAATCAAGTATTTCCCATTTTGTTTAGAAGGAACACATGAAATTACATACAACGATAGTCCCGCGGACCCTGTAAGTTTTTATAAGAAAATTTGATGTTTTGAGATAAGCTCTTTGTTAATTTTCTATTTTAAAGTAATTTCATTGAAAAATGATGTATTATAACACCTTTTATTAAAATGAAAATACAATGTATTTAACACTACAAAGGGTGTATTTATAAAATTAAAACTATTTACGCAGTTTTTCATGTTTTGACCTTGATTGAGGATACATGTATATATTGTATACAACAGAACATTGACGGAGAAAATGCGTACTTGAATGAGAGAGAACTTGATACGCAGTAGATTTTCTCTCATCTTTTAAACTTTAATGCGTACATATACAAAAGAAAATAAAAAAAATATTTCTGTTTAATATTTTTTGTTTTTTTTTCAGCTGGGATAATTTTAAAACAATTTTTATGCTTCTCTTGCTAATGAAATACAGGGTGTCCCAATAAACATGGGAATTAAGTGACGACTTCTGTGTCGTTTTTATTATAACTTTATTATTTCACCTTCAACATTGACCGTTCATTAAAAAATCTGTCCAGGTTCCAATTTATTAAAATAACGAAATCTTTCAAATGTTAACTATATCCGTAAGGTAGACCACATTTTGGAAAGCTCATAAGACGTACAATCTACATTTACCCGATTTACCAGAATTCGAAGACAATTTAAAATTTTATTTTATTGTTTCTTGGGACACATGGTAGCATTAAACGCATTCAAAAAGCGAACCAGAGGTCTAGAGCCTAATGTCTGGACTTTAGAGGTATAGAGGTATAGAGGTCTAGAGCCAAAGGTCTAGACTCTAGAGGTATAAAGGTCTAGAGGTCTAGAGCCAAAGGTCTAGACTCTAGAGGTATAGAGGTCTAGAGCCAAAAGGTCTATATTCTAGAGGTATAGAGGTATAGAGGTCTAGAGCTAAAAGGTCTATATTCTAGAGGTATAGAGGTCTAAAGCCAGAAATATAAACCCTAGAGGTCTAAAGCCAAAAATCTAGACTCTAGAGTTCTAGAAACCAAAGGTATAGACTCTAGAAATAGTAGACAAATTAGAAAGAAATTATGCAAAAACTTGAAATAAAGTATTTAAGAATTAGAAAGATAGTATGAAAAGAATTAGAAAGAAAGAAAACTAGTGAAAAAAAATAAAAGATAGTATGAAAAAACTTTACAGAAAGTAATAAAAAATTTTAAAGAAAGTATGAAAAAAACTTTTTAAAAGCATGAAAAAATTTGGACGAAGGCATGAAAAAACTTGAAAGAAAGTATGAAAAAAATGGAAAAAGCATACAAAAATGTTAAAGAAAGTATGAACAAATTTGAATGATAATATGAGAAAACTTAAAAGAAAGCATGATATAAGGTTATTTGACAAGTATAATCAAATTAGAAAGAAAGTATGAGAAAATTTGAAAGAAAGTATGAAAAAACTTGAAGGAAAGTCTAAAAAAAAACTTGAAATAAAGTATGAAAAATTAAAAGAAAGTATGAAACGAATTAGAAAGAAAGAGAAGGAATGATCGAATTGCAGGGTTAATTACAGTTTCTTTGTTTAATAATTCACGCTTCTCTGCACTGTTTAAATATTGCAGGTTTTACAAATTTTTCTAAATTAGAAAATAAATTAGCTAATTTGTTCACTTTTTGTACACATTACAATGTTTATTGTCTATCTATGAACATTATTGTAACACTTAGTATTGCTAGTATTCTGCAAATTACGTTATTACAATGTTTATTGTCTATCTATGAACATTATTGTAACACTTAGTATTGCCAGTATTCTACAAATTACGTTATTACAATGTTTATTGTCTATCTATGAACATTATTGTAACACTTAGTATTGCTAGTATTCTGCAAATTACGTTATTACAATGTTTATTGTCTATCTATGAACATTATTGTAACACTTAGTATTGCCAGTATTCTACAAATTACGTTATTACAATGTTTATTGTCTATCTATGAACATTATTGTAACACTTAGTATTGCTAGTATTCTGCAAATAACGTTATGATCGCCTCTGCTACTTAAAACTCACAATTGTCACTTTTATAGAAAAATCAAAATTATCTATTATCAATTTTTATAAAGAAAAACAAGGAGACTTCCATCAGTTTTCCTCAAAAGTTATTAAAAAGGGCTATGTGCGCTCGGTTTCTTTAACCCTATTTGGTCAAATTGACCCTGCCGCTATATTTTTTTGCGATAACTCAAAAAGTATTTTAGCTAGGAAGCTCAAATTTTCTGGCTTTTCTAACTAACCCATGCTCCTCATTTAAGGCTAAAAGCTGGGCTTTTCTACCTACTGCCTGAGTCCTCAGGCATACTGCCTAAATGCCTTTTTTACCTAAACCAGACTAAATCTATATTTAGACCTACTTTCAGCCATTGGATTTCAACATTGCACAATTTTTGCAAAGAAATTTTGCCAAATTTTTTGCACAGACGCCTTTAAAGGGAATTTGCACAATTTCACCTTTTCTTGAATACACATTTAAAGGTTTCAAAAATTTTGAACATTTGAATTGCTGGGTCAAGGGCTTTTCAAAAATGTATAATTTGTTGCAATTTTTGCAATTTATTTTGCACATTTTTGGTTAATAACTAGATTTCGTAATAAATATTTGGATTTTTGCAAACTTGCCATTTTTCTGCAGATTTTTAAAGGGCTTTTCAAAAAACGTATCAAATGTTATAGATTTGTATCACAATAAGAAAATAAATTCTCACTCATTCGCATCTAAGGATTATCGCGTTATAAGCCCCAGTTACACTCGTAAAGAGCATATTTTACAACATGTTTTAAAACTTTTTTGCTCTATTGAACTCATTAATCTTTGTGTTGTAAGCTATTTTAAATTTTGTTTATTTGCCCCAAATCCTCTGAATCCTCTCAGCAAACTTTTAATTAATCCCAGCTTTGAAGGAAAAGGTTAGAAAAACAGTTACTGGAAAAAATCGAAGATTTTCAAGCAGAAAACTAATTAGGGAATGTCACATTGTGAATCTAGGTGAAGCAGAACGTTGGAAAGGAATTGAGTCTTTGACACAAACTCAAATCTTCTAATCCCTTTATCTTGGCAACC